GTCAGATTTCCACTTGTTTTGCTCTCTTCAAAACTCCTTGCGTGGTATAACATTCAATTCAGACGACTGTAAATTAGCACCTTGTTCAGCTTTTCACAAATAAAGACAGGTCCTTCTACGAACGAGAAATTATGAAGCTCACTGAAAGATGGCAAAAGGTTATCGAACAAAATGGGCAATATATCATTGATTGATCTTTGTTCTTTATATAAATACATGACTTTTGAAAAACATAGACAAAATACATTATGACTTGTCCGACAACCCAATAATACTAATTTGGGAGAATTATTGAAATGTTCTGTGAAAACTGTACCACCCATATAGGTATTCTCAACAAGGTTTTTCTTATTTTTGTTTTCTTATCAGAAAATCACTAATAATAGTAACCTCTTTCAGAATCAACTCCTAAGAGAAAGACCTTTGTCCTCTGAGTGTATTTGTTTGGATGACATGTTCTTTTTGACCCTGTATACGAAACGAACCTGCTGGTGGCTATCTTTCTTTAATTAAGAAATTTAATAAGCCAGCATTGTTTCTAATGCCACACACACACAGAGAAAGGAGTATTATAAGAAACAGGACTAATCTGCAGTCATTCAGAATGCTATTATAAATAACACAGCTCGTCGTTAAAAATGTATGACAAAGTACTTTAACAACATTCTCAGAGAGAAATCAAAATACAAGTTTTACGCTCGAAATGTTTAACCCTGGCTACATGTAATATTGACCTGGGGAACAGTTAAAAGTGTGGATCCCAACTGCATTTCTCAGACCATCTGAAACTGATTCTCTGGAGTGGGGCCCCAGGAAGTTTTAAAAGCTCTGGGGGGGTGAGGGTGGGGTGGGGGGCTTGACGTGCAGCCAGGGCTGAGAACCCTAGTATAGGAAATGCACCCAGTGCACCTATGTGTTCAGGATGGAGAACTCAAGGCGTAATTTCTGCAAGTTATAAATAGATCCACTCTGAGGTTGTAAAATAAGAGTTGGGGCAGATTAGATCAAAAAGTGATAAATTTTGGCTTTATTTTATTCACTTCAGTTTATGGAACAGAAAAGGCACAGTTCGAAGACATTGCTGATAAGCAAGTGGAGGAAGCAACAGATTTCAATGCAAATCTTGCTCAGCTGAAGAAAATCTTACATGATAGCAGCAAAAGGCCAAAGAGGAGAGGCTTAGTATACTCATCACTGTTATAGGAAAAGTAAATAAAATTTATATTGCCTACTAATGGAGAGTCACAATAGAACCCTTCAGTATCACTATTATTCCACATACCAGGTGACTGTCAACTAGTTTCAAATTTTCATTTTTAAAAACTATTCATAGAAATGTGTGCTATTTTGAATGAAATATGAGCATTTTCCCCTACTTAGCCCCCTCCAAATTCTAATGTGAATATTTTTCATTACATATTCTCATTCTATAATATTTGTATACATTGTTTAGAGAAAGAAAACACAGAGAGCAAGGAGAATATAACAACCGCAAATAATCTCACCATGTGGAGAGGCTCACTATTAGCTTGCATATTGGTATGTTCCTTTCCAGCTCTTCTCCAATACATTTTTTTCCTTCTCTTTTTTTTTTTTAAAGATTTTATTGGGGAATTGAGGTAGGGGAACAGTTTTGGGTAATTGGGGAAGGGGAATAGACAAGTTGCTGTTCTTTTGTTCTTCAGTCTAGTTGTGGAGGACGTCGCTTCACTGGCCCATGTTGGTATTGTGATCATTGCACTCTTCCCGGGTGAGGCAGTCGCTCACCAGCCATTGGATGGCCGCTCGTGGCAGCTCACGGCAGCTCATGAAAGCTCACGTCCGCTGCCGGCCAGCCCCACTGCAGCCTACGCCATCGCAGGCGACTCACGGCAGCCCAGCTCCAGGTCGAGCTGTTCACCATCTTCACTGTAGAGAGTGCAGCATCACTGGCCCTCATGTGGGATCCAAACTGGGGCCCTGCTGCTCAGAGCTGGCGTCCCAAGCCAACTCTTAACCACTGCGCCACTTGGCCAACCCTCTCCAATACATTTTTAATTAAAATGAGGAGAGATCTACATTTATATTTAAGCTATTTTCCACAACATAGCAACATGCCACTAAATGTTCAATAATGCAATTTAGCAACAGCTCTGTGAAGTTCTAGAATGTACCTGTTTTACAATTATTTTAATTATTCCCCTATTACTAGAATATTCAACTTGCTTCCATTTCTAAGTTCAACAATATTATAAACAAAGCTATGAGGAAACAAGTACGGTCTTTTTTGTTGTTTTTGATACTCTTTTTCTTGGGATGGTTTTTAAATGTAAAAATAAATTGTCCCTAAAATAAATGTTCTGCAGGTTTCCTCGTTCAGTCCATACAGCAAAAGATCTCATCAAAGAGCCATTTATCACCGACTTGTTGATAAAGAAGCAGAGTTTAAGATGGCTGAATGAACTTCCAAGTTTGCTTGCTGTTCCTTCCACTAGAGACTTCATTAATGTGATAATAAAATAACTTAAAAAAGTGAAAGCCTACAACAGTTTTCTAGAAGGCAATACTCTGAAGGAAGAGTGTTGACTCTGATAGAGTAACTTAGCCTAGAATTTGTGCAGAGGCAGAGAGAGTGAATCTCCTCAGCCAATTCCCAGAGATGTCTGGACTCAAAGATGGAAAATATAGAGTCCAGGAGTGAGAACCAGGGGTGAAAACATGAAGAAAAAAGTCTGACACGAGACCATGCAAACATAAACCCTTTTTCTAAAGAAATTGAAAGTGAGAGCAATTAGTGTGTGAATTGGCACTAGCTAAGGTTCTCAGTCTGACATTGGGTGGGTTATCTATGTAGTGGCTGCTTAGTCACTCACTTCAAAGTGCAGTCTTTCAGTTTCTAAGACTTGTCCATAGATCCAGAGTTCTCAGTCAGACTTTCTGTGCTTTTATTCTTAAATGTAAATAGGCACTCAAAGACCAGAAATTTTAGGAAATTCGACAGCCTAAAGGAGAATGACTCATTTAAACAAGCAGAAAAACTGATCAATGTAAAAACAGACTCAAACTTAAAGAGCAAAGAAAAACTCAAGATAATCACAGATGACACTAGAGAGATTACAGATGGATTCACGAAATAAGATATCATGCTCTGAAAACGTCACATTCTAACAACAGAAAAGAGGCTTGGAAATTAAGTAAACATACATGATTTTCACACACACACACACACACACACACGTAAAGATATTTGGAAGGAAAATTCAGGGACTCTCTCAGAGACAAGACAGAAATCAAAACCACAAGATAAAAGAAAATGTCTAATGTTTAATTGGACTTCCAGAAAGAGAGGAAAGAAAAAAATAAAAGGGCATAAATTGTAAGAAAATTATACAGAAGTGGAAAGCATGAGATAAACTGAAAGGACAAACAATCTTGAGAGCAGGATGAATTAAAACACACATGCATATACACACACTTAAACATATGTTGTTGAGTTCTATAACACAAAAAGTAAAGATAAAATAATAAAAATGTACATTGAGAAGAAAATATCAATTACAAAGGAACAACTGGACAGCAGTAACAACGGATGCAAGATCACAGTGAATTAGTCTCCAAATTTTGAGAAAAATTATTTTTAACTTAGAATTTTATAACCAATCGATTGTAACAGCAAATTGATGTCATTTCAGGTATACAATAACTTAGAAAGTTTGCACCTTACAACAACCTTCAGAGGTAGTTGCTTAAGGATTGCTCTGAAAAAAATGAGATTGAAAACTAACAAAGAGGAATATGTGGGACATTAGAAACTGCAATTATCCAGCAATGCAGTGAAAACTCAGTGGACATCAAGAATTTCTTAAAAAAGAAGAATGAGATGAAGGATATAAAAATAAGAAGCTGAAACACAATGGCAACATTTAGAAGAAGCGATATTTTTGTTCTCCCAAGAAGAAAAATAAAATCAGGTAATCTATGAATTTAAAACTAACAAAAGTTTGTGGTATAAACAATGAAGTAAGTATAATGTTGCATGATTTTGAGTATCTGATAGAGGATTGGAAGGGAGGATCAATTTGACCTTGAGTCTAGAAATATTCAAGAGTAGCATGGAAGTCCTAACAACTTGGAAGTGTAGAAAAGGAAGTGATACTACATGTGAAGAAAGCATTATTTTGATAGCTGTAATATATATGCCAAGTTAGGAGTCAAGATATAGTTGAAAAGTGATACAACATGACATAAAGGTGAAAATATACATTTTTAAATAACACATTTAATCAGCAGAGAGGATTAAATTTTAAAAAGCAATATAACTATAAAAAATGGAAAGGTTATACAAATGAGCTAAACCTAGAACAACAAAAAAGCAACAACAGACAATGCTGAAATTTGATAAATCTAGACGTAGTAGTATAAATGTACTTATTCGTAGAGAATTGAAATAAACTTCCAAAAGACTAACAGCAGAAATTATTATTTTTTTCGGTTATGATACTGTTGTTCAAGTTCATATATTATTTGAATGTCAAACTACAATACGATACCTTGACTTTTTTAACCTCAGATTATTATACTCACCCAACAAATGTTAAGGACCAAACATGAATATTTTTCCCAAAAAAATAATATTTTAGGTTTTAAGAAAACACCTCACCTTTAGAGAGAGAGGAAAAGAAGGAAGCAAATATTAAAAATCAACTCACCTAAACAAAAATCGCTGAGGTCAGCAAAAGAGCATTTGAGCACAAAGTCTTTTCTGTCTTCTTCAATGTTAACTGGAATAAAAAAAAAGACACTTTAGATTTCAGAACTAAAAGCATAACAACAGTTAGAAAATGACCATGGTGAATGACGTATGAATGATGGCCAAACATAAATAGTTTTTTTAAGTTAATGAGTCAAAATGAGTTAAAATTTCACTCAGTAAGGGAAAGAAACATCTATACTAATTTTTTTTTAATTAAAATTTATTGGGGTGACAATTGTTAGTAAGTTACACAGGTTTCAAGTGTACAATTCTATAATACATCATCTATATATCACATTGTGTGTTCTTTACCCAGAGTCAGTTCTCTTTCCATCACCATATATTTGAACCCCTTTACTCTCATCTACCACCCACCTCCCCCCTTACCCCTGGTAACCACTAAACTATTGTCTGTGCCTGAATTTTTGTTTCTTCATTTGTTTGTCTTGCTCATTTGTTGTTTTCAGTTTTATACACCACATATTAGTGAAATCATATGGTTCTCTACGTTTTCTGTCAGATTTATTTTGCTTATCATAATAATCTCAAGATCCATCCATGTTGTCACAAATGGCATTATTCCATCTTTTCGAATGGCAGAATAGTATCCCATTGTGTACATATACCATATTTTCTTTATACAATCATCTATTGAAGGACACTTGGATTGTTTCCATGTCTTGGCCTTTATTTATGGTGGGCATTTATACTAATCTTAATACCTTCATCCTCTTGAACAATTAGCCACTTTCCTCACTGGACACGGATGTCACAGGACTTTGTATAATAGCTAGTGGTTTCATAATACTATTGAAAATATAATCTTGGAATTTTCAAGTTATCCAAAAGAAGAAGGAACCCTAAGGAATTATAAGGTAATATATTTTCATAAGACACGTGCCTCTTAGAGAGGGGTGAGAAAATAAAAACATACTCCATCCACACTGAGTGACAGGGGGGCCTGGTTGTATTTTGAATCTTGACTCTTATGAAAAGGAATTGTCTAAAGGCATACGGTGTGTCTCAGATGGGCAGGTGTCTAAGGGCAGTCACCAAGTCTCTCTAATGTGGCATCTAGCTGTCACCTCCCTATATTTCAGTCCTTGTATTATCTAAGGTTTCGGTGCAAACACTTGGCTGCTAACACTTGTCCAACCACATTTTCCTGCAACCAAATCTTCACTGCTCTATTGTCAATATTATTTAGTCTTTGGTCTTTCATTTTAGGTACTTGAGTTTATTATTAATAACACATGCTACTCAATTACCAGTTATAAATTTTCGCCAGAAATGGTAATGAGCCAACGATTCAGGTAAGCTGGTCTGGGTTCACCTAAAATCAGCAAGTGCCAGGTCAAGGTTCACATGGGACTGGCTACCTTCAAGGCAAGACAGATTGAAAATACATATGGCCCACAAATGGCCTTTCATCTGACTGGCATGGGGTACTCTTCTCCTTCCTACGCCTGCCTCCCTCCTAAAGAGCTTTATAAATACTCATAAAATGGATGAGGGAAAGAAAGAAGGAGTGGTTTGCAAAAACTTACTCTCTTTTCAGTTGAACACAACAATAGAGCTCACCTTGCTCTGCTTTGTCAGCGGAGACTGAGGTTACAGAAGTGGGAGCCTGAGATTCACTCTCAACTGACCGGAAGAGCGAGGTGGACTGGCTCAAGCTCTTTGAGCAAGCGTAGCTCTGGGCCAGGCAAGGCAGAGATCTCCGAGACGGTTTTAATGAAGTTTCTTTCGCTATCTCACTCTTGCTTATATTCATTCCTGAAAATGCAAAGTGGTGGGTGTTAGCACTAAGAAACAATCAGCAGAAGTCAATAAATAATTTTAATGCTTGTGATGGATGCTTCTGGAAACTACTCTTCAGAAGTGGCATAGAGATTAGAGTTAATTGAGTTAGTTTGGTTCATATTTTGTCAGGGAAAGTGTTTAGAAATTTTTGTCAAATCATTCTGAAAAATAAAACAGTTCCTTTTCTAGTTTGACCTTTCACCATTTTTAAAGGTTCTATACAAAGGTAACAGATGTTTAAGTTCATTTGGGGAGTTATGAGAACAATGACTTCGATTGTCTTTGGATAAATCTAACCATTTAGGTTTTCAAGCAGAAAAATAAAAACTGATTCATAAAAATTCAAATTACTACTAAATAGAGACCTTCTTTTTATATCCTAGACTCCCTCAAACACACGCATAATGCATTAATGGTGACCAAGAGGCTGGAAAGAGACAGCATAGTATATTACAAAAACTGGCCAATCAGGGATCAAGAGAGAGCATTCCTGTACTTAGTATAACAGTCCCTCTTTCATGCAGAGAAAGCCGACCAGCTAGAATGCCCCTTAACAGCACTCTGACTCCATAAGTGAAGCCCCAGTAACTGTAGGCTACAGCAAGGAATGGCCCCGCTACCCTGTCCCCATCCACTGCCATCTCTCATAACAACCTCTGGTCATTCCTCACCCCTGAACTCTAATCCTTAAATGTCTCTGGACACTGCCATTTCTGACAGCATCTCCTATGCGGACTGTGTCACTATGCCCCTGGGAACTCATGTTGAACATCAGAAAACCCACTTAATTTCATCCTCAGGTTTTTCTATGGATAATACATTTCCCACCATAATCTCACCCAAACTTGCACTGCCCAACATCCCCTACAATTGGCAGTGCTTCTCTTTGCAGCCATCTCCAGTGGCGGCTGTTTGTTTTTTACACAACCAAAGACTTTACATCAACTTGACTTAAGGTGGAGTAGATACCCTCCTTGCTTCTAACTGCCCCTTTCAATTCATTCCCCCCTCAACTTAACTGAGGAATAATTGACAAATACAGTTTTATATCTTTAAAGTGTACAACATGATGACTAGATATACACTAGTCCCCTCTTATATGTAGTTTTGCTTTCCACAGTTTTTTTTTTTTAAAGATTTTTTTATTGGGGAATTGGGGGGATGGGAACAGTGCTGGGGAATTGGGGAAAGGGGAACAGACAAGTTGCTGTCGTTTTGTTCTTCAATCTAGTTGTGGAGGACGTTGCTTCACTGGCCCAAGTTGGCACCATCATTGCGCTCTTCTCTGGCGAGGCAGATCAGTCGCCGGCTTCTGGACGGCCGCTCACTGCGGCTGCTGGCCGCTCACGCTGGCTGCTGGCCACACACAGTAGCCCATGGCAATGCACTGCCACAGGGACTGCAGCCCACGCCGTCGCCGGCGACTCATGGCAGCCCAGCTCCAGGTTGAGCTGTTGTTCAGCATCTTAGCTGTGGAGGGCAGTGTCACTGGCCCTCATATGTGGGATCCGAACCGGGACCCTCTGGCATCCCAAGCGAGTTCTTAACCATCGCGCCACTCGGCCGGCCCGCTTTCCACAGTTTTTTTACCTGTGGTCTGAAAATATTAAATGGAAAGTTCTAGAAATAAACAATTCATAAGTTTTAAATTGCCTCCCATTCTGAGTAGCATGTTGAAATCTCACACATCCCACTGCAGCCTGCCAGGGACATCAATCATCCCTTTGTCTAGAGTAAATGACAGAAAAAGACCTCATTCACATAACTTTTATTACAGTATGTTGTTATACTTGTTCTATTTTATTAGCTGTAGTTGTTATCTCTTACTGTGCTTAATTTATAAACTAAACTATCATAGGTATGTACATACAGGAAAAACATAATATATTGGTTTGTTGGAAAAGTCATGATGTATTTTGTCTGTTTTTCAAAGGTCATTTATTTATATAAAGAACAAAGACCAATCAGTGATATATTGCCTGTTTTATTCGATAACCTTTTGCCATCTTCCAGTGAGCTTCATAATTCCTCGTTCATAGAAGGACCTGTCTTTATTTGCGAAAAACTAAACAAGGTGCTGATTTACCGCCTCATCTGAATTGAACGTTTTATACCATGCAAGGAGTTTTGAAGAGAGCGAAACAAGTGGAAGTCTGATAGTGCAAGGTCAGGTGAGTATGGTGGGTGTGGCAACACATCCCATCCAAGCTCCAATAATTTTTGATGTGTGATCAAACTTGTGTGTGGTCTCACATTGTCGCGATGGAACACAACTCCTTTACAATTAACAAGCTCTGGACGTTTCTGGATGATGGGTTCGTTAAAACTGTCCAACTGCCAACAGTACACATTCGAATTGTTTGGTTCCTTGGTAGGAGCTCGAAAACCACGACAACTTTAAAATCCCACCACATTGGGGAAATACGATACCTTGACTTTTTTAACCTCAGATTATT